CTAACGGAGCGCACGCGAACTACCTGTACACAACCGCTCGGGGGCGGTGCAACAGGCGGAATCCTGACCCTAGCGGCCGGCCCGTCTTTTATATGATTTGGCCGCTGCTGGCCAGCGGACCCTTGCCTCACCCCCGCGCCTATCTTTATTTATTTAATAACCTTACAAACTAATAAACATAATTCACTATATAATATTCTTATAACTACTTGTTAGACTAGGGTGTACATATCAATATTTTTACTTATTTACAGGTTTACATTATAATTTTCAGCTGCTTTAGGCGGAGAATCCTTCCCCCCGCCTCAGCACTATAAATATAAAACGTCGTGGCGCGGTGCGCGTGGCTTCATTTGCTCCGCGGCCGCGTCACGATAACATGCTCTTTGGTTACACTACTACTATTTTTTTATGTGCCTAACGGCCTAATATATTTATTATATAATAAAGTAAACATTTATTATATTTAACAATTACAGTTTTCATTTGAAGACTATGCTAACTCTCCCTGTTCATACGGTGCCTTTATTTGGGAGAGTTATTGCACAGTTACAACTCAACCTTAAACTTAGTTATAATACAATCATTATTTTTTATCGTTCGATACAAGTAATACAATTATTTACACAAATTATAATTTAAATTCAACATAAGGTTGCGCTAGTCCCGCCGTATAACCCTTGCTAGTTGTCGAACCAGAGGCGTGGCCTGATAATTACACCGTCGTCATGGCTCCGCCCACCGCTCCTAGGTTGTTCAACTAGCGCCGGTTACAATAAGCATTTTCTTTCGTTTGTTTAATATTGTTGCGTCGTGCACATATATACTTTACTATGTACATGAATATGAACGTGACCATGCACTTGATTCCCTCTACTATTTTTTATAGTAGAGAGTGACAAACGAGTACACCTGATGTTATGTGACTACTGCTGGCAATAAATGGTAAATTGAAAATGTTTATTTGCAAGATTCACGGTATATCAATATGTTACAATTTATCCAGTGCAGCCAGACGTGTTTCCATAACAACAATGCATGTCATGCATTTAATTTTAAACTGTTCGTATGACAATATTTATTAATTACTATCAAAAAGTCCTTTAAAACATAAAAGTTTTTATTTTTTAATCAATAATATAAATGTTTCTTGTACAATCTGTCGCTTAATAATTTTTTTTACGTATTTCATTATATGAACCATGAACAACTGCAACACCAGAGGAATTGTAGGGGCGTTGCAGGCCTGTAGGTTTAGACTAAGCGGACGTATGTTTAGGCTAAGCACGAGGAAAAGTAACATCTCCAGATTGAAAACTTTCAGAATTATAAAAATTTAAAATTAAATTTGTAATGATATTTACAATTTTGTACTAATCTTTTTATTACATTTTAGTTTATATCGCACCAACCAATGTAATGTTTCCTATTTTTGATTCGGGTCCTTTCTTAAATACCAGTTGTATCAATATTTGTGCAAAAATAGAAATTTCAATTTTTTTTTGATCATATCGCGCCGTAACTTCACAGTTTAGAACGAATTGTGTATAAACGTCCACTAAGGGTTTTTATAGAAGTAGAAAACCAACATCACATCGTCGATATTCGACATCGATTATTTAACTGTTATATTGTTTAATCCATCATAATTATTATTACAAAAAGAAGTCCCGTGCCGGACATAGGTCCGCATGCATGATTACTTGAATGACTTGTTTATATTCACAACGCTGGTTCATGAGCACGAAGCTGACCCCCTTATAGTGGTAATCGTTAGTGTGTAAAAGTTTAACTCATTTTTGGATAGATTTTCTATCATTAGTCGGTTTCCAGTGCTTATTGAGTGAGCAAATTAGTAGCAAGTACCGCGTGCACCACGTAAAAATTATGCTGTCTTGTATTCTAACATCTATTTTAAAGAGAGCTATACATATTATCGTAATCATCATTACAGCCTCTTATAGCTTATAGATAAATATAGGCCTCCCTTATAGATGTACTCCCCTCCCTTTCATTTTCAATCAATACTAGCTGTGCTCGGCATACATTGCAATCTCGCAAGTTTTCATTATGTATTACGTAAAATACAAACAAAATATTCATTTTGGGGCACAAATCTTCGAGGATGCGCCGACAACAACTCACAATATTATATGCATAGAAGACGAATTTGGCAAACATACAATTGTTGATTTTTATATATTATATAGATTATTACTTATGAAACGTCATTTTTATATATTTTATTTACCAATATTACATTTGTTTTCAGTCCAGTATTGTAAAAGCTACTATTATATAAACAACTATGTTTGCCAGCTTGCAGTACATTCGCTCGCAATAATTAAAACGTACTATAATATGACCACGTCAGTAATGAAACTAATTCAATGCAACCGCAACGTCGTACTTCCGCTCAAGCTTACCTAACAGAAGTTATTTAACGAACACATATTTGTTACTTTGATACTGCGAATAATATATTATTAGACTGAAATACACATGAATTAATATTTATGTACATATTATATACGTATTTATTTAAAATATAAATGTATATGTACGTATTACAGGTATATTGTATACATAGATCTAAACTGTCGTGAGGAAGGAGATTGAAATGTTATGTACGGCGAGGGGGGGGAGGGGATATATAAGGAAAAGTCGTAGTAGATAAGGGATAATTTCGCGCCTTAAATTTTGCAAACCAAATTCGATCCCCACCGATACCATTGAAATTATTGTGTTTTTGTAGCACGTGAAGGCTGCTAAAGTCATATCCTCGATCGTGGAGCATATATAGGGACGGAATAATTACACAGTTGTGATTAATAGGTATGTGCTTATAACCTTTTATGAAATTGATCGGCTGATGCCTCTGGGTACCTGAAATTTATTTAATTCAGGAAGCTTTAATCTTCAGCAACCCGGGTTCGTTCCACGCCGACACCAATGAAATTGTTAATTGCTTTTTTAAGTGCTGATTTACCACGGACTCGCCGGTGAAGGAAAACATCGTGAAATATGAAAAAAATATTTCAAAGATATGTGAAGTTTGCGAGCACGCATTGGGGCAGCGCGGCGGACATTTCCTTGCCCTAAAACCCTTTCAGAAATGAGAGGAGTCCTGTGCCCAGTAGTGAGAAGTATATAAATATAGACTGTAACTTAGTAATAATAAACATACATTTTTTTTTCATTGGGTTATAACGTTTTTATGGATAACTTCTGACTATAAGCCGCAAGGAAAGGCAAAGTTAATGCTGAGAGCAAAGCCCTGTCATAAAGCTGATTTTATTTAATAGTCTGGTTGTTAAACTTGATAAAGCGATACTTCTTTTCTTCTTCTACTACTCTTCAGTTCATAAAATTATTCTATTGTTCGATTTAGGCTTTTTAGGAAGGATTTGCTTTTATTGTCACGCTTGGCTGACAGATTGAGACATGTAACACCAGAATTCTACCAACTTCTGCTGCCCGTCGCCGATCTAAGTATTTTACTTTTGGTTTTGGATGGTTCTACGAGGTGGCCTTCTATCGGTAGCCATAGCAAATGTGCGCGTTGTATAAAATAAAACTATTACAAAAAAATTCTATAAACATTTGTCACATTCAATTTTATATTAGCAATAATATATTATAAGTATCATATTAATACACATATAATATGTCATATGACATAGCAAAAGTAACACTCTTGGTTTGATATCAATTGCGAACGAATTGACTGTTAAAGGTTGAATACGAAGAGGACTCGAATCTTGACAAAAGCCTCAAGATTCGAGTCCTCTTCGTATTTTTTATTACGATAATAACGTTCAATAGGTGAGCTAATAAATATAATATATGATTTTTGAAATACATTTTTTTACAATTTTTGAATAGAGTTAGGTTAGGTTGGATTAAATTTTCAAAAAACCGGATCAAAAAAGAGTTACATAAATTCCAATTAGTTTCGCACTATACATAGTATACGCATATAATAAATTATATCAGAATGCAGTTTCATTTTCCATATTTTTTACGGTATTGAAATTTTTTTGAAATAAATCCCTACATGATCACTGCTAAAAACTACTATATCTATACAAATAAATAAAATTGGAGTGTCTGTTTGTAATATCAAAATAACAGCTTTTTACTTAATGCATAGGAAAGTATATACGGTACTTATAACAAAAAAGACATTTTTAAATTTTTTGTCTGTCTGTCTGTCTGTTTGTTCCGGCTAATCTACGAAACGGCTGAACCGATTTTGACGGGACTTTCACTGGTAGATTGCTGATGTTATAAGAAGTAACTTAGGCTACTTTAATTTTAAAAAGCGAATTAGGGTTCCGCAAAAAAAATGAAAACTTTTGAAATTGTGAACAAAGTCCAATTCAAAGGTAATTAATAAAGGGAAGTATAATAATAATATATAACATACATATAACATAATCCAATGTAAACACTAAGTATAATAATAATATAATAAGATGTAATAATGCCCAGTATCGCGCGCGCCCCACGCGAAGGCTGTCGCCATGGCCGCACCGAAAGACTATTACAAAGGCTACCTGTCGCGCGGGCTCATTTCACTCAGAACCAAAGAGTATAGTAACTGTCCTATACAGGAACCCGCGAGCGGGCTATTGCGGATGGTTGTGTCTCAACGCGCTCAAATTATTTTCGACTAGCATATAGCTGATGTTATAAGGAGTAAGTTTTATATTAGAAAAAATATTAAAATATATCGTAACATATCGTAATACACTCGGCGTCAAAAAAATCGCACATCCCAAAAAAATTATTTAAATACTATTTTAACACAACAGGCCAATGGCAATGTTGTGGTTTGAGGGTATCATTCGAAAGGTAATTTCATTAGCTTTCAGGAATTTTAATTGAATTGTACTTTTATAACGAGACGAAAGAGAAATTAAAGAAAAAGACAGGGTATGTACAAATTTGCAAATTAATAATTTAAAAAAAAAACTTAATAAATACAAAAAAAGTTCTTAAAACCTAGTGTTACCCCCCCTTGCCTTGATAACGGCTTCCATGCGATCTTTCATGGACCTTACAAGGGTCGCAACAGCCTCTTGGGGTATTTGTTCCCACTCTTCAAGTACCGCATCTTGGAGCTCTTGAAGAGTAGTTGGAGCTGGATCTCGAGCTCGCACGCGCCGTTTTAGGTCATCCCAGAGATATTCTATTGAGTTAAGGTCTGGACTTCGTGCTGGCCAATGCATAACAGGGATATCGACCTCCTGTAAATAATCCCGTACAATAGCCGCGGTGTGGCAACGAGCATTATCATGCATTAACATGAATCCATCACCGACATAACCAGCATACGGGACCACATGTTCCTCCAGGATTTCAGTAATGTACCGACCAGCATTTAATGACCCTTGCCCACGGCCACCCCGAGTCCGGGAAACGCACACAGGTTCCGTTTTCCCGTCGACGGAAATGCCGCCCCAAAACATACACGTGCCACCTCCGTATTCGACGGATTCTTCGAAGCAGGGTTGTGTGAATCTCTCCCCCTGTCTTCTGTAGACCCTTCTACGTCTGTCATTGCAGAAGAGACAGACCCTCGTCTCATCAGAGAAGAGTACGGTCCGCCACTGTTCTAGAGTCCACTCGCAATGATTGCGAGCAAACTCTAGGCGATCTCTGCGATGCTGTGCAGTAAGTTTTGGACCTTTAGCAGGTCTATGGTCTGTTAAACTCTTTTCCTGTAACCTTTTTCTTATCGTAGAAACACTCACAGATGTTTTCCGAGTTGATCGAAGCTGTTGTTGCAACTCAACAGTATTTGTAAAACGGTTTCGTAAAGATGTCGTAACGATGAAACGGCCATCTCTTTCTGATGTGCACCGTTTTCTTCCAGATCCCGGTTTTCTAACAGAACCACCAGTCTGCTGAAAACGTTGGAACACCCGTCGAACTGAAAAACGGGACAGGTTCAACTGTCGAGCAACGTCACACTGCCGCATCCCCGACTGCAATAGGGCAATCACTTGAGCGGCTTCTTCAGAGCTGTTGTCCATCTTTACTTGTTCTTACTTGGGTTACTTGTTCAAGTGTGTTCACTGCAAAGTCTAAATTACAACTGACCCATATTTCATCCAGATCGACCCTTTTTTACCCTCTTTAGGTGGTGTAACTAGCGTTCTTATTAACGAGCATTTGACAGTGTTTATTTTTGACGCTCTATAATGATAAATGTTTTTATGATTTCATGATTTTTTTATTAATAATGTAAAGCTATTCAAATACCCATTTCAAACATACCAATATTTATATAAATATAATTCGTTTCTAGCCATTACGGCCATTTTTCGCGCAAACTCAGAGAGGTGCGATTTTTGTGACGCTGAGTGTATATTCCGCGCGGGCGAAGCCGCGGAGAGCAGCTAGTACTCTATAAAATATCGATACTTCCAAAATGGTGCCAGGAAAAATTTACTGCATAGCTAGCTACTTCGACATTAAAAGGTGATCTATTAGTATATATTTGCATTGTGTTCCAAATTTCTTATGACAAATCTCAAGGAATATTGATGGAAAATTGAAATGAGCTTAACAAAAATAAAAACACCTTCTATATGTAATTTTATAAACATTCCATAATTTCTAAAAGCATTCCATAAATTCTCTTTATTACAGAATACTTGATCTTTCGCCATTAAAAGCCTAACTCTTAATTTTTACGTTGTACCTAAATCCCTTTGCCTATCCTATCCTATCCTATAATGTGAATACAATTTTTAAGTGAAAACCTTTCTTAAAAGATATGTATTTATATAACTAAATGTTAAACCTTAAAATCCTATATTGTTGTGAACCTCAGTAGTCTGTGGCAAATTAAAGCGTATCTTTCTTTCTTTTAAAAACGAAAGAAAAACATTGGAAAAACTACTATTACGTATTATAGTTATTATGTAACTATGATCAAACAAAAATTATAATACGAAGCGGCTGGCATCATGGATCACTGGTGAACATGGGCCTTCGCCCAAGAGATGCCACAAAGCACGGTCCTAAGCTACCTGTATCCATCGACTTCCTGGATCTCTTACTAGGCCGTCACTCTCTACAGGGAAGACGCGCTACACTTCGCTTACCGGTACGAGGCTACCACTCGAGAACCTTTTTTGCACATCAGTTGTCGATTCTTTGAACTATATAACCATCTCACTGCACTTCAGCTTACTGATGCGTTGCGCTTAAAATAAAACAATGTATTTAACCTAAACCTTCTTAATGAATTAAAAAAATAGTTTTTGCGACATTATAATTATTATAACATTGCAATAAGGTTTAAATATCTTTTTCAATCACCCTGGTAGGAAATATTCTGAAGGGACACTGAGCCATATAGGAAAAAAGTTTATATAAAAATACAAATGCTAAATAAATAGATTTTTTATGGTAAACAGAGAACACCAACATATCTATACTTAAACTCGTTAAATATTATAATTTTTTTGTGAGAGTAGACTTATATAGATTAGCGTTTAATGGAAAATATTACGAGTATACACAATTACACAATCATGTGGTATATTTAAGGGATAATAATAATATTATGAGATAGTTTCATGTTAGACGTAGTTTCGTTGTCTGTTTCAATAATTAGTTTTACAAAAAAATCTTTCATTAATATGTAAAATAAATATTAGCATACTTACTATACTTACGATACCAATTTATTTTAGTTAAGTGACAGTCTGTATACATTACGTCCCACGGCTGGGCACAGCTTGTCATTGATGTAGATTTTACATGTTCTCGAAATATTTTTACTTCTCAGTCATCAAAATTTCGTCACGTTCTTTTACTCCACCGCCAAAAATCTGAATCAAGAAGAAATGCTGTACACATGTGTTTATTTAACTTAGACTTTTATTTGGTTACTAAGACTATAATAAGTTTTTACATTTACATTATTTTCTATAAAAAAGACTAAATCTACTACAAGAGCACCTATAATTTTTTAAATTGTCGGTTACGCTAAGAGCAAGCGTGTACACAGCCACTCGAGTTGCCTCGGGGAGACCGCTCCATTTCGCAATTTCATACTGCAGCACAAGATTTTAAAAGCTTTTATTGAACTTGCAATGTTCATATATTAGTAAGGGTCAAATCTTCCAACTGAATTTTAAAGCAGTTATCCTCAACCGATTGAACAGAAATTTTGCATACATGTTTAGTTTGGATGACAAGGCGTGTTTAGCTAAGTGACGTCGTACTAAATCCAATATGGCTGACGGCTGAAGATGGCGATCTAGTTATTTTTTATGGACTCCCATGATATATGTATATCAAATGAAAGGGTTTGCTGAGAAAAATACGAAAAGGGAACGACGTCACTCTAAATCTAATATGATTGACACCCAAAGATAGCGAACTATGTTTTTTTATCCACCGCCCTGATATGAATATCAAATGAAAGCGTAAAGTAGCAGCTTAACGCTGCTGTGTTTCGTATGGTCAGTGTAGACAACCGGAGACCCCTTTTACTAGAAACGAGGCATTCCATCTTAGTCCTCACGGGTGACAACGCATCTGCATCTTGATTCGTAATCGAGCCTAGATGTAGATGTCTATATGACACAGCAACCACTTAAAATCAGGTGGACTGTGTTCTCGTTTGTCACCCTTATCCTGTAAAAAAAGATACTTAAAATTTATAGAATAGGCCATTTGATCTTTCGACTAAAAATTTAAATTACTATAATTTCACGCAAGTTGATAATAATTTTATTTTATATGATATTAATAAACTTACTTTGTCTACAAAACAGCTAATTGTATAGTAAGTTATATATATATATATATATATATATATATATATATATATATATATATATATATATTAGCTGGCCAGGCAGACGTTGTTCCAGGCCCTTTTCGACGACCCTTCATATAAAAAATTCTTAAATTCGTAATAAAAAAATATTGAATGTCACTTATTAGAATAAAAACTATCCTATCTCTCAAGTTGGACGAAACTGCACAGAGTGTGCAAAATTTCATTGAAATCAGTTCAGTTGTTTAGGAGTTCATCGCGGACAAATAACGTGACACGTAATTTTTATATATAAAGTTATGGCACTACTTGGAAATGAGGTGAAAATTTGACAGATCAATATTTTGTGAGGAAGTTTTAGAATAAAAAGAAAATATAAAAATAATTTCGTGTTACTTGATACTTGTAAAAGTACAATTTGAAAAGTCCATTAACAAAGAAAGACGCATACGTAAAAAAATTATTGCATAATGCAAATCTCCTAAATGTGTTCCAAAATATGTTCTTAAAATATATGTATAGAATTGAGTGGTGTTTATATTACAATAGAGTGAAAATATTACGATCTATTTGCTTGTTACGAGGCATTGCATTAGTATTTTATATACATCCTCGTTTTATGTTTCACTGTGTAATCATTAGGTTTTTTTCATGAAAGACATGTATACATTTGAATTATAGTTATCATGAAAAATAGGAAAAACTGGAAACATTTCTGAATTAGTCATCGCATGTTACGCAATTCAGTGCATTTTAATTGTCCCCTTGGAAATGGGGTATATTTAATAAAAATGTGTCCAAAGTATGTACCATTAGACACATTGCTTACTACTAGTTTTATTTGAATGTGTAGTGTGCGCGTAAATACAAGAAATGATTAAGTTGCTTTATGGATTTAATTATATACATATTAATATATATATATATATATATATATATATATATATATATATATATATATATACTATTTTGTATTTTCTATACAATTTATTACATTGAAGACGCCAAAAAAATAGTGCTTAGTATTACCACAGCTTAAAGACCTTGAGCTGGGAAACGAATGTACTTATACAGAGCAACGGTGGTGGCCTTGCAGGGCAGGTGGTGGCGCGATCTTGTGCCCGCGCACTCCACTAAGTCCGCTATACAATACATGCGGTTGGCGTAAGCGTGTTTTATAGTACTTATTTAATTAATTTTAAGTGCCGTTTTCGAAAAATATAATATCTATAATGGTGGATTACTGTTATAGTTATATGAGTTACTAAGTAAAGTTTAGTTCAAATGACAGCCATGCTTATGTTTCCCCTCATTTTTTTATTATAAAGAGGAGAAATTTGTTTGTTTGTTTGAATTGAATAGGCTCCAAAACTACTGGACCGATTTAAAAAATTCTTTCACCATTAGAATCCTAAATTATCCCTGATGAACATAGGCGATAGAATATTTTCAAAAAATTTAGGCATCCGTATGAAAACTTCGTTAAAGTAACCCAAGGTGTGAAAAAAATACCAAAAAGAATCCTTATATCTCGTACGCTGCGGAAACTATTGGTAATAGAGCAAAGTAACGTGCTTCAGTTTTATAGAGGATATCAATATCTACAAAAAAGTCTGCGATACCATATGTTTAACTATTACAGTTATGTCACAATAACTACTTTTTCAT